ATAATTATATATATATATATATATATATATATATATATATATTATTGGAATCTTTTTTACTTTGGCGTCTGTTTACTTTTTTATTTATATAAATAAAATTTTTGACTCTACCCGTGATTACAACATAAGCCATTATGACTTATGATTTGATAGGATAAATTATTATTTTTTTTACACAAAGCGTGTATATATCTATATCTCATACTAATTTGAATATACTATTAAAGTAGGACTTTTTCTTCTTTGAGGGAATGAAAAAAATAGTATTTAAAGGGGACCTTAGCTTGCCTTTTTTCATCAAACACATACAACATTATTTCCCATAATGGCTTTTCCTTTAGTACTCTCCCTATCTATATTCATCATCTTTTTATGTTACAAACTCTACAACCGGCTCACAGCCAAGCTTCCACCGGGACCGTGTCCATGGCCGGTCATTGGAAACCTCTTCAACATAACCCCAGTGAGGTTCCGGTGTTTTGCTGAATGGGCCCAAATTTATGGGCCTATCTTTTCTTTTTACCTCGGGTCACAACTAAACGTGGTGGTGAATAATGCAGAACTTGCTAAACAAGTTCTTAAAGATAATGACCAAAATTTGGCCAATAGGTTTAGAACAAAACCTCTTGATAATGTGAGTAAAAATGGGATGGATTTGATATGGGCTGATTATGGACCTCATTATGTGAAAGTAAGAAAGCTTTGTAATCTTGAACTTTTTACTCCAAAGAGACTTGAAGCTCTTAGGCCCATTAGAGAAGATGAAGTTACTGCCATGATTCACAACATTTACAGAGATTCTAATAAGCATTGTAAGTTTCCTTTCACTTTTACGACTATTATTTTTTACTACGTCTACCCACCTCGGAATAACTTCAATCATGCAGTATGTGAAGTTAGGTTCGATAACCTTTTCAAATGTGAAATTATTAAGAGTCAACGTTAGGAGCAACAATCATTATCATTTCGTTAATTAAATCAAATATAATATTCAATATTACGTGACTAAAGTACGTTAATTGTATCAATAATCATTAAATAGCACTACAATTCCATCGGAAAGTTTTTTCTTTATTCCAGTCAAATGTCAATACATATGAGAGAGAATTGAACCCCATACCACACGCTTTTAAAATATATATTTTTTCTTAATCGATAATCCAAAAGGGAATCAATACAATATATATATATATATATATAATGGTCAACGTATTTTATGATACTATGGTAGATATTGTTAGTCAATACACAAAATGTAAACTCATAAGATGTTATGTGGTCTGAATATTCATATATTATACATGATTTGTTAGTTATTTTAATTTAAGGGAGCATGCAAGTATTTTGACTTATTCTTCTAGAGTTTAAATATTGAATCCGTCTTTGTGTGCAGGCAATGTTAGTAATTGTATGATGCTAAGGGGCTACTTGGGATCAGTATCATTCAACAATATAACAAGGCTAACATTTGGAAAAAGATTTATGAACTCAGAAGGTGAAGTTGATAAACAAGGTGAAGAACTCAAAGCTATTGTAACAAATGGGATTAAAATAGGAGGAAAATTAAATTTGGGAGAATTTGTACCATGGCTACGTTGGGCATTTAAAGATGAAGATGAAGCTCTTGAGGCACAAGATAGACGTTTGGAGGAATTTACAAGAATTATAATGGAAGAACACACAATTGCTAGGAAAATAACTGGGGAAACTAAACAACACTTTGTTGATGCTTTGCTTACTCTACAAAACGAGTATGATCTTAGTGATGACACTGTTATTGGCCTCCTTTGGGTAAGTATATTTTGATAGTAAGTTTAACTTTATACAATAATAGCATAAAATATATTTACACTGACAATATTGTAAAATCATGTAGGATATGATAACAGCAGGGATGGACACAATAGCCATTACTGTTGAATGGGCTATGGCCGAACTAGTAAAGAATCCAAGAGTTCAACAAAAGGTCCAAGAGGAGCTAGATGGAGTTATTGGATCAGATCGTATCGTAAACGAAATAGATATTTCCAAACTCTCCTATCTACAACATGTAGTCAAAGAATCTTTAAGATTGCACCCTCCAACTCCACTAATGCTGCCTCATATGGCTGGTAATAATGCCAAAGTGGGTGGTTACAACATTCCAAAAGGTTCAATTGATTCTAATTTATCTACAATATATCATTTATTATTTATCATATTTTAGCATTATACTCCTTATTTATTTTTACTTGTTCATGTTTAAATTGATACACCTCTTTAAAAGTAATTAATAAAATGATAAGTAGTTTACTAGTATATTATCCTTTGAACAGGGGCAGAGCCGCAAAGGACGCCAAAGGTATAACAAGGGCTAAGAGAGTTTATCTGAATTCCTTTGACGGAAAGTTACACATTTATATATGATTAAAATTAATTTTTTATATATAAATAATAGATGTTCATGAACTCTGTAGAAAATTGAAGAGCAGTAATTGGGAAATTTTCTCGTTGTATTTCTCTGTACAGACTATATGTCCTTATATAAGACTGAAGAATAATAAATAAATTAAGAATATTCTAAATACAAATATATTTGTCTAAATCCTATTGGTTGTCTATGTAACTTCTATAACAACTTTTATTCCTTTCTATGCTGGCATTGTGCTTCTCACGTGATTTGGTAGAAACTTCTAGGTTCCTCTGCGGTGGATGGTTAGGATTTAATCTCTCAAATGGATGGCTGCAATTAGATCTCTTCCATGATATAGCTTGATGATTGCCACGTACTTGTGAGTCCAAATTCAGACCATGATACTTTTTCTTCTTCATCTCTATGGAGAAACAAAAATTGGAGCTTCTTTATCTGTAATTTCAACATCCCCCCTCAAGATGGAGGGGAGAGAAATGACACCCATCTTGCCAAGAATCCGATGATGAGCAGGCCCCGAAAGAGATTTAGTGAAAACATCAGCAAGTTGATCCTTGGAAGGAACGAAATGGAGAGAAATGAGTCCGAAAAGATACTGTTGCCGGACGAAATGACAGTCGAGCTCCACGTGTTTCGTTCGTTCATGAAACACGGGATTTTTGGCAATATGAATCGCCGCTTGACTGTCTGAACGAATAGGGATCGGCAACAAAGGAGGAACAGACAGATCAGCAAGTAGACGAGTTAACCAAGTCAACTCGGCAACCAATCGACGCATCGATCGATACTTAGCTTCTGCAGATGACAAAGAGATAGAAGCTTGCTTTTTCGATTTCCAGGATATCGGAGAACCTCCCAGACAAATAAAGAACCCACTAATTGAACGGCGAGAGTCGGGGCAAGAAGCCCAATCCGCATCGCAAAAAGCAGAGATGATGAAAGAAGGAGAAGCTGATAAAAAAATGCCTTGATTAGGTGATCCTCTCAGGTAACAAAGAACTCTTAAAGCAGCTGCAAAATGATTTTCAGAAGGTTGTTGCATAAACTGACTGAGGCTCAAAACAGCATAGCACAGATCTGGACGTGTGTGTGTTAAATAATTAAGCTTTCCAATAAGATGCCGATAAATTGTTGGATCTGACATAGACTTTCCTGAATCTGCAGTTAATTTGCAAGAAGGATCCATCGGTGAAGACACATGATGCAAATGGGAAATGTCAAACTCCTCAAGAAGATCTAAGGTATACTTCCGTTGATTGATTATGATCCCACTGTCTTCGCGCAAAATTTCCATTCCTAAGAAATAATGAAGCAAACCAAGATCTTTGATTTTGAACTCAACATGTAAGAAAGCTTTGAGACTTTGAATTTCTATTAAATCATTTCCTGTAATGAGAATGTCATCGACATACACGGCAACAATAGAAACCAAATCTCCTGTATGTTTAAAAAATAAAGAATAATCATTCAGAGATGCAGTATATCCCTTGAAATGCAAAGCACCAGCAAGCTTGGCATACCACTGCCGGGAAGCTTGCTTGAGACCATATAAGGACTTTCTGAGTCGACAGACCATAGTAGAGTTAGATGGAGCTAAACCGGGGGGGAATTTCATGTACACCTCCTCTTGCAAATCACTTTGCAAAAATGCGTTATTGACATCAAACTGTGATATAGGCCATTGTTTCTTAGCTGCAATAGATAGAAGACACCTGATCGTGGTCATTTTAACCACGGGGGAAAAAGTTTCATTCAAATCTATACCCTCTCGCTGGATGTCTCCTCTAATAACCAATCTTGCCTTTAGTCGCTCAATGGAACCATCTGCACGATGTTTTACCTTGTATACCCACTTACAAGGTAATGCCCTTCTATTAGAGGGAAGGTGAACCATATCCCATGTGTGGTTTGATCTCAGAGCTACTATCTTCTCTTGCATAGCTTTGGACCAACCTGGATGAAGAGAAACTTGATAGTAACTGTTAGGTTCTGTGATATGGAAAACTGACTCTAGTAAGAGCTGATTAGATGGTGAAATCCCAGTAGGAGATAGACCGGTAGAGGTGATAGGGGCAGCAAAACAGGATTCGGTCACAGGAGTAAGAAAGATATTGTTGCAAAAATAATCCTGAAGATGAACAGGTAGAGTCCCTTTAGTCGATCTTTCTGATCTTCTTAAAGGGAGAGAACCAGTGGGCAAATTTGAATCAGTTACAAGAGATGTTTGAGGAGAAGGACAGTTTAGAGGTGAAGAGGAAGAATCTGGGGAATCTGAGGACTCCGGAGAAGGAATGTTAGGAACTGAAACATCAAAGGATGAATCAGTGACAGTAGAATACTGAGTATCAGGAGATGGAGAAGGGAAAATAGAAGTAGAATTAGGAGAAGGAACAGTGAAAGGAAATATAGCCTCAAAGAAAGAAACATCTCTGGATATGACTATTTTATGGCTATCCAATTCTAAGATTTTGTAACCCTTTTGATTTGAAGGATATCCAAGGAAAACACAGGCCTTAGCTCTTGGTTCAAATTTGCCCCTTCCATGGGAAATAGTACTAGCATAACATAAGCAACCAAAACACTTTAAAGTGGCATAATTTGGTGTTTTCCCATGGAGTATTTGATAAGGTGTGTGTCCATGAAGCACTCTAGAAGGTAATCTGTTTATTAGAAAAGTAGCAGTAAGGATGCACTCCCCCCAATATGCTAAAGGAACTTGAGATTGAAATAAAAGAGCTCTAGCTATTTCAAGTAAATGTCTATGCTTTCTTTCAACAACGCCATTTTGTTGAGGGGTAGCAACACATGAAGTTTCATGCAAAATACCTTGTGAGTTGAAAAAATTGATGGCTACAATACTTTTGCCCAACTCCATTGCATTGTCTGATCTTATCCTCTTCACTTTAAGATTGAATTGCCTTTCTACCATATAAAGGAAGTTTTGTAAAACTGAAAAAGCATTGCTTTTGGTGCTTAAGAGGTAAGTCCATGTTCCCCTACTATAGTCATCTACTATGGTAAGGAAGTATTTATAATTATCATGTGTAAATACTTTGTAGGGTCCCCAAGTATCTATATGAATAAGATCAAAAATTGACTTAGTTGATATATGACTGATAGGGAAAGGAGGTCTTGACTGCCTTGCCTTAGGACAAATGTCACAAAAACAATCAGAATTAGAAGGAATTGAAATGAAACTGACATTCTTCATTGATGAGAAAGGTAGATGGCCCAATCTGATGTGCCATAACTTTACATTAGATGTAGTACTACTACAATTTGGTAAAGAAAAAGAACTAGCATTACTGAAACAGGGAAAGGAAACTGAAGAACTATTAGAAACTGTAGAAGTTAAAACAGTTTTGTTCTTGCTGAAATTGAAAACAGATTCTTTGACTTTAGGCTTGAGCAGATATAGACCTTCTGAAACTTCACCAAAAACTTGAGGCCTCCTCATTGAAAGGCCCTGCAACACACAATGATTAAGAGTAAAGAGCAGTGTGCAAGAAAATTGATTGAAAAATTTATGCACAGACATAAGATTATATTTGAAACTAGGAACGTACAACACATTTTCTAAAATGAGATCAGAAAAGAGAGATACAGTCCCAATATGAGTGACAAGAATAGTTTGACAATTAGGAAGATTAATAGTTAAGGGAGGAGTAAGAGAAGATAATGATCTGAAAGAAGTTGAATCAAAACACATATGTTCAGAAGCTTGAGTTAGTCACAGAAAAACATGAACCAAGATATTTAATAATCGTACCAGCCACTGCATTAGCATTGATCTCCATTCCTGAGTTGGTACCCTCTTCCATCTTCATGTGTTTGAACATCTTCACAAACTGATTGTATTGTTCCTGGGAGTAGTTTTGATTTGAAATATCTATTCCAAAACTCTGTTTGTTGTCTGTTTCTTCCATAGTCATGACTCCATTTCCCCTAATTTGATCTACATTTCCCTTTACTTGATTATTGAAACCTTTCTCATTTGTAAACTGAAAATCATCTAGAAAACCAATGAGTCTGAAACAGTTAAGTTCCACATGTCCAGTTTTCCCACAGTAAGTGCAGGTGACATTGGGGTTGTATTTTGCTTTCTTGCCTTTGAATTTTGGATTCTGGTTCTGTCTGGGAAATCTTTGTAGCTGTGTCTGTTGAGATCCAGCAGGTGCAGGTCTGGGGTAAACATTTCCAAATTTGCTTGAAGAAGCAATAGATCTCTGACCCTGTTTAGAGATTCTATATTGATGTGAATTTCCAACCATAAATGCAGATGAATCAGGATTGACAGTAGAATTTACATAAGATTCTCTTTGGTTTTCATCCTGCAGAATCAAAGAATATGCAAGATTAATATCAGGCAAAGGATTGATCATCAATATATTACCCCTAGCTTGTGAATAAATGTCATTCAATCCCATGAGGAATTGCATGAGTCTCTCATCTTCCAAAGATTTCTGTAACTTTTGTTTCCCTTCACATATGCACACACAGCTGCACTTGACATTGGTATTAAGGGAATCCAGTTCATCCCATAGTCTTTTCAATTTGGTGAAGTATCCGGCAATGTTAGATGTGCCTTGAATTAACTTGCTGAGCTCCTTTTGCAGGTGATACAACTTCGCACCATTAGACTGACCAAATCTGTGTTCCAAGCTCATCCATAGCTCTCTCACAGTTCTCGAGTAAATCACACTGTCTGCGATTTCCTTTGACAATGAATTCAAGATCCACGAGGTCACCATGTCATTGCATCTATTCCAAGCCTGCAGATCTGGAGAATCATCAGCTGGGATTGGTTGTGCTCCAGTGATAAATCCCAGCTTGTTTTTAGCTGACAAGGCTATAAGAACACATCTCTTCCAGCCTTGATAACCCTTTCCATCAAAAGGGTTATTCACGATAGTCATACCAGGTGCATCAGAAGCATGAAGATGATAAGGGTGATTGTGATCAATCACTGATGTGTTACTAGTGATTGTTTGGGTGGTAGTGAGTGTGGCAGCTGTTTCTCCTGTCATTGCTCAAACGAGATTTAGGGTTGATCAATTGATTTGTTGCTCTGATACCATGTAGAAAATTGAAGAGCAGTAATTGGGAAATTTTCTCGTTGTATTTCTCTGTACAGACTATATGTCCTTATATAAGACTGAAGAATAATAAATAAATTAAGAATATTCTAAATACAAATATATTTGTCTAAATCCTATTGGTTGTCTATGTAACTTCTATAACAACTTTTATTCCTTTCTATGCTGGCATTGTGCTTCTCACGTGATTTGGTGGAAACTTCTAGGTTCCTCTGTGGTGGATGGTTAGGATTTAATCTCTTAAATGTATGGCTGCAATTAGATCTCTTCCATGATATAGCTTGATGATTGCCACGTACTTGTGAGTCCAAATTCAGACCATGATACTCTTTCTTCTTCATCTCTAAAGATGGAGAAACAAAAATTGGAGCTTCTTTATCTGTAATTTCAACATCCCCCCTCAAGATGGAGGGGAGAGAAATGACACCCATCTTGCCAAGAATCCGATGATGAGCAGGCCCAGAAAGAGATTTAGTGAAAACATCAGCAAGTTGATCCTTGTGACTCTATAATTATTTTTGAATATACTAAATTCAATGTTTTGAAAATTGCATTGAAAAATGAATAGCAAAAGATAGAATAAGTATAAAATGATAATAAGTGTTTTTTTCTGAGCTTATTGGATCTGCATGGAAGTGGGAGCAAGGTAGATTAATTTAATATAGATAAACATGCATAATTAACATATAATTATTTATATATATAAGTGTCAAATCATAAAAGAATCAAGTTGGTGATGCCGCAACTTATAATTTACTACGTATAATTTGTCAACTCAATTTATGAATACATAAATTTATTTTTATGTATATAAAATAAACGTTGAATCTCTTTAGCTTCGTCGTTTATTTTCTTCTTTATGTTCCCATCCATGTGAAGGTGATTTGATAATGTAAATTAAATATGATATCATTACAGGCTCTTTCATAAAAACCATCAAATTCCTTAAAAGTAAAATTTACAAAGAATTGGATTTAAGTTACAGACGATGTTAATTTAATTAGTCTTTTTAAAAAAAATATTACCGGGCCTTTTTAATAATATTTACATGTGAGACTCAATAAAAATTGAGATTATAGTCATAAAAATAGGACTTGTATTATCTTCACTGATAGAATAATTTTCTTCCCCACCTACCGTGTATATATCTAATAAATCTCAAACTAATATAAATATATTAAAGTATATGACTTTTTCTTCTATGAGTGAATTGAAAAAATAGTATTTAAAGGGGGCCTTAGCTTGCCTTATTTCATCACACAAACACAAACACAATTATATTAATTTATTTCCCATAATGGCTTTTCCTTTAGTACTCTCTCTATCAGTATTTATCATCTTTTTATGTTACAAACTCTACAACCGGCTCACGGCCAAGCTGCCTCCGGGTCCTTGGCCGTGGCCGGTGATTGGAAACCTCTTCAGCATAACGCCGATGAGGTTCCGATGCTTTGCTGAATGGGCCCAAATTTATGGGCCAATTTTTTCTTTTTACCTTGGGTCACAACTAAACGTGGTGGTGAATAATGCGGAACTTGCAAAAGAAGTTCTTAAAGATAATGATCAAAATTTGGCCAATAGGTTTAGAACAAAACCTCTTGATAGTGTGAGTAAAAATGGGATGGATTTGATATGGGCTGATTATGGACCTCATTATGTGAAAGTAAGAAAGCTTTGTAATCTTGAACTTTTTACTCAAAAGAGACTTGAAGCTCTTAGGCCAATTAGAGAAGTTGAAGTTACTGCCATGGTTGAAAATATTTTCAAGGACACCACTAAGCCTGGTATGTGAATTTTATTTAGCATGGATAGATATTTAGTATTTAATATCTATCCATTTAATTTTATTTTTTTTGCATGTTTACTTACTTCAGAATAAGTTAGGATTGATAAAAAGGTCTACAGTTACATATCACTAGTTTACAAAAAAAATTTGGCATACACATCAGCTATTTGTGTAGTTTTGTCATTAAATTAATATGGTCCAGTTTTAGATAAATTTTTTGTTTTCTTTTTAACGTATTTAATTGGTTAAGAATGAAAACACTGACTGTACACGAAAATGATGGGAGTATCAATCATTTTCATGATTTCTTTGATCAAATAATATTCAAAACCTTGAAGAAAGGCCTTTAATAATATAAATAATGATTAAATGGAATTTCATAAGAAGTATGAGGTCTTTAATTATATAAATAATGATTAAATGGAATTTCATAAGAAGTATTTTATTAAATTAAATAATGTTCAACGGGAAAGTCTTTTCTTTAATATTCCAGTCAATAGGAGATAGAATTGAACCATATCACACCCTTTTTTAAAAAAAACATATTTTTTTCTTAATAAGCAATACAATAATATAATATTAAATACAATAGTCAACGTGATTAATTATTTGATCATCATACTTTAGTTAATATTTTATGATACTAGGGCTTAGAAAGTTGAAGTATTCCAATGATATTGAAGTACATATTCGACCCATAGAGTTTAAATTCTGAATCTGTCTTTGATAAGCAGGTAATGATAGTAAAACAATGACGCTAAGGGGCTACTTGGGATTAGTGTCATTCAACAACATAACAAGGCTTACATTTGGGAAGAGATTTATAAACTCAAAAGGTGAAGTTGATGAACAAGGTGAAGAGCTCAGAGCCATTTTAACAGATGGGATAAGAATTTCAGGAAAACCTAATTTGGGAGAATTTGTACCATGGCTACGTTGGGTATTTAAAGATGACAATGAAGCTCTTGAGTCACAAGATAGACGTTTGAATAAATTTACAAGACTTATAATGGAAGAACACACAATTGCTAGAGAAAAATCTGGAGAAACCAAACATCATTTTGTTGATGCTTTGCTTACCCTTCAAAAGGAGTATGATCTTAGCGATGACTCTATTATTAGCCTTTTTTGGGTAAGTATACATATACTAGTTAATATAATTTTAACTTTTATACACTGACATCACGATTTTTATTTTTGTATTGTTTTTATTTTGAAGTACTAGAGAAATTTCGAAATGCATGTCTGCAATGTTTATTTTAGACAATAATGTAACTGAACTTCAATTGCAAGTATAAATATATGTTGGAAAGATATATAGTATAATCCCTAAATATATTTATTATTTTTAAATATTTAGTTAAATCATCTTAATAATTCAAAACCATTGTCATTTTTAAACCCAAAGCTTTTTACAACTATTTTATACAGCTTTTTACTAAGGAGAACCAACGAAGACTTGAAGCTAAGGTATCACGCACAAAGCTTTTTACTACTATATTAACTGTTATAAATTGAAAGAAGCACCACGAAAGAGTGATAATATGATTAAAAATAATAGTATTCGAGTCTTGAAAATAAAAAATATATTATATGATTAAACATAATAGTATTCGAGTCTTGAAAATAAAAAATATATTTTAATAGAAAACACTTTTTCTTGTAGTAGAAAAGATCTTTTATTGTGATGATGAATATAGGAAAATCCTCTTTGAATTTGTCAGAGATATTTTGATGGGAATTCATTTATTTCTGTTCGGGTGACTTGCTTTGGTTTAAATGCATTTTATGTAACAAGACTTGTATATTGGTCCTAGAATATGAATCTTCCATCCTTATAGACTAACATTTAAAATAAAGTACAACCTATAAATCTAGCATGGTAAGATTAGTGAATTTCAAAGTCCACATGCTTATTCATTTACGTTCATATGAGGACTTTTTCTTCGTTTTTTTTTTACTATTCATAGTAAGGACGGTGACGCCATAAATAAG